ACCTGAGGCATTGTTTAAATAAAAGCAATTTAACCTAGTAAAATGGATATTCCAGATTGAAATGTGTCCCCAAAAAGTTTTATTAAAGTTCTACCTACTGTTATTTGTGAATGAGACCTTACAGAAAAATAGGGTCTTGAAAGATGTCTACTGAGTTATATGAGGTCATACAGATGTAGAGTGTGTCGTAGTTCTGAGTGTTGTCTTTTTAAAAAGTGAAGTTGTTGTATGTATTTTGACTTACTTGTAACTCATAGCAACCCTGTGTACAGTAGCTCTGAATCCTGCTTCATCCTGTGTCAATCATATCATCTCTGACACACCTATCCCCATTACCCCAGTCACTGAATCAATTCATCTCATTGAGGGTCTTCCTCTCTTGTGTTCTCCTTCCACCGTCCCAAGCATGATGTCTCTCTGCAAGGACTGGTCTCTCTTTGCAACATGTCCAAAGTATGCCAGACAAAGCTTCAGAATCCTTGCTTCCAAGGAGCAGACTGGTTTCACCCTCTCTAGGATGAACCTGTTTGTTCCCCTAGGAGTCCATGGTATATTCAATACTCTTCTCCAGCACCACAGCTCAAAGGCATCAACTCTCCTATCATCCCTATGCATTGTTAAGCTTTCTGACACATACCAAGTGATTGCCTGGATCAGGTGCACCTTAGTCTTCAGACTGAAATCATTGTTCTTCAGTACTCTGGAGGGGTTCCTGACAGCAGTCTTTCCCAAGGTTATTTATCTTTTTTTTTTAAAATTTCCTGGCTATTGGTACCAAGAGTGCATGCAGGGGGACATATGCCATGTGAAAATATACCTAAAAGTCAAGTATATCAAGGAAAGCCTTGTCTACACTAAATCACAAATCTTAGTTATCGTATGTTTCTGTAATGGAAATACTGCACGTAGAAGACTTTTAACTACATCTATACCTTCAGAAGGTTAGAAGTAAAATTTCAGAATGCCAGCTCTGGGGGAAGGAGTAGTCTTTTTGTTGGGTCTGAGCAAAGATCCTAGTATCCTTTGAACATCTGTGGACTCACCACCCCCTGGGGCTTTCTTAGCGTCTTGGACTCCATTGTTCCCTGAATTTAGGAAGTTCTCAGCACAGGGACCCTGGGTCCATAGAAAAGCATCCTTTCCTGACTCTTCTTTTAGTGGTCAGGACCCTCATCTCTGTTTACTTCTTTCTGCTTTTCTCTCTTGTGAGATAAATCATGACACATATGACACCCCAGGGAAACACCTTGTACACTGAGTTTGGAATATGATCTGAATAAGCACGCTACATTCCACCCTAGATAGTTTATGATCGGCTGATTGTGTTTTATGAGAGGAGAGGTTAGCATTCCCCTTGACAAGGATGGAAGAGGTCCTCACGTACAGGTAAGATATTGTTACCTACTTGGCGGCATCTAACAATTGTATTTTTAAAACGGTACAGTCACTCTGGAAGGCAGATTGCCGTTTGCTCAGAGAGTTGAACATAGAAATCTCTTTTGATCCAGCTTGGAATCCTTGTGGAATTGTTATGGAATCCTTAGAATTCCTTATGATCCACTGCTTGGCATATACCCCGTGAGAATGAGAACTGAGGCTCAAATGAAGATTTGTACACCAGTGTTCATAGTAGCATTATTCGCCATCTCAAGAACATGGAAACAGCCCACGTGTCCATCCACAATGGAACGGACTGAGAAATTATGGTACATTCACATGATGGAATACTATGCAGCATGCAGGAACAATGATTTTGTAAATCACTACCTAACTTGGGAGGCACTGAAGAGCTTTATGCTGAATGTTCTAACTCAGTCTCATAAGGACAAATACTGTATATTTATTGTAGAATGAGTCTGAGGAGTCAAGGGAGGGGAAGGGAGGAGCAGGGGGTGAGGGTGGGGGCTGTTAATCATAGGGTCGCACTATTTGATGCGTGGAGGGAGGGTTAGGTAAAGGAGATGAGAATGATCCAGTATGAAAAACAATGTGTATGAACTTTGTAAGTAAACCAGTATAAAATAAAAAAAAAATTAAAAAATGCTACATTCTACCCTAAATCTTTTATAATTGATTGGCTGATTATATATATCACACATTAAGGATTATTACATAATTCTATTACTGTCAAATTACATTATTAACGAGAGTATAAATTCAAGATAAACAGCCCATTTAAGCGGACATTTGTTTTTTTGAGGGGGAGAAATACAATTTACTTCAAGCCACGAGACAAACAAGAAAAGATTTCTCTCTAAAACTCCCAGGGAGAACATGATGCTCTGACATTATGAATTTGAGCAACAAGCCTCCAGAACGAAAAGAAAATTTCCATTATTTTAAGACACACTCTGTGATCTTTTTCTGTGTTTCCTCTGAGAAACTATTGCAGATATAAAGAAAACTGGGGTCTAATCTGACTTTACCTACTGCTGGAGGAATTTTCAGGTCATCAAAGGATTAATCATTCAAATAAAAGAATTATATGGTCTTTCAAGTCCAGTAATAAAAACAATTGTTGTCACCTATTATCGTTTCAGGTGGCCTAGTGGTAAGAAACTGCACTGCAATCCCAAAGGCATGCAGTTCTAATCCGCCAACTGTTCTAGGGAAAAGGATAGGCAATCCACTTCAGTGGGTTTAATTACCTCTGAAAACCTGTTGGAGGGTCAGCTATAGCTTGGTTCTGACTCATGGTCCAGGACAACAACAGTACTATTTTCAGTTACTATGCATCGGAGAGTTGGTAATGACTAGGGATGACAGAAAGAGAATAGCCTTTGAGCTGTGGTGCTGGAGAAGAGTGTTGAATATACCATGGACGGCTAGGAGAACAAACAGGTTTGTCCTGGAGAGGGTGAAGCTGGAGTGCTCCTTGGAGTCAAGGATTCTGAAGCTTCGTCTGACATACTTTGGGCATGTTGCAAGGAGGGACTTGTCCTCGGAGAGAGACATCATATTTGGCAGAGTGGAGGGACAGTGCAGGAGAGGAAGACCCTAGATGAGATGGATCGATTCTGTGAGTAGAGTGGTGGGAATTGGTGTGTTTGAGACGGTGAAGTTGACACAGGATAGAACAGCGTTTAGGGCTCTTGTACAAAGGGTTGCTATGAGTCTCAAGCGACTCGATGACACATAACAACAACAACAACAGCCTAGTGGGTAAAGAGTTGTGCTGACAAACCTAAGCATGGGATTCAAATCCACTGGCTGTTCCACAGGAGAAAAACAAGCAAGCTCTTCCTATACATTTCCAGCCTTGGAAAACTTACAGAGGGCAGCTGCTATAACAACAAGAAGATTTATCAGTTTGTGATTTTTCTGGAATTTAGGAGCAGTTTCTGTAATTTAGGGCTGGTGCAGCAGTGGATGATGGCTGATAATGGGAAGATGATGGTCCAACCCACTCAGAGAGTGTGCAGAAGAAAAGGCCTAGCAATCTGCTTGTATAAAAGCTAAGGCCAAATAAAAACCTGCAGAGCCCTTCCACCCTGTGGCACACTGGCCAGTGCTACTCTGTAGTGCGTGGGGGTCACCATGCGTCAGACGTCCACTGACAGCTGCTCACAACAGGAAGAATATTATAAAAATAACATGTTACCGATTCGATGGGACACACACCCCCCCCCCAAATAATAAAAGAAAAAAAATAACGTGTTAATTACTATGACTTTAAAAAGGAAAACAATGAACTTATTCTAGAGTGGTGGTGGTGGTGTTGTGGGCCATTGAGTCAGAACCGACCCAGAGTGTTGGGTTTACAGAGGCAGTTAATCCCCACTGGAGGAGATTGTTCATTCTTCCCCCACCAGTACCTGGTGGATTCAAACTTTGTATCTTCGGTATTGCCTCACAGATCCTTATTAGTAGGCCACGAGAGCTCCCTAGACTATAACAAAAAGCAGTGTGGCAAAGCATAAATTACATGCATACTTAGGTGTGTGTATTCTTGACCGCTTTCTTTCCTTTCTAATATAGATTTCCTCAGCGAATAAAGATAAACTAAAAATAAATTTTAACATTCTTAAATTTCATAATTGAGCCTTTGTCTCCTCTAACCAATACAAGGTATTTTATTTAAAATTTGCAGTGTTCTTGTCATAGCTGACGTTCCAGCAGTTTCCTGAGGCAGCTAATCTCACAGAGAAGATTGTCCATCTCGTCCTGCCAACAGCTGGTAGATCCGAACCAGGCATCTGCGGACTGGCAGCACAAGCCCTCACCACGAAGCCACCAGAGCTCCCTCGAATGTCACAGTAACCTTAGTATTCTCTTAGCTCTTCCTGAGATATCACAAGGCTTAATTTCTTTAATTAATTTTAATGAAAGTTTACAGAGACTTAGGATTTGCAGTCATTCATTGTTGTACTTTTCTCCCTACTCACCCCCGCCCCCTAAAACCACTCTTCTCCTTGAAAATAAAAACTCTTTCATTGTTACACAATCCCTCCCCCCAAGTTCACTCCACTATGCAGCCTTCACTCTGGACTTCTGTAATGACAGAATACCCATCCATTTATTCCTTTTAAACAGTTCTCTCCCTCATCTGTCTCAATGCAGTATACATCATTCCTCCCCTCCTTTTCTGTCTTCCCTCAACCCTGATGTTGGTCCCGTTTTACAACAGTGGCCCTATGCAATATTTGTCCTTTTGTGACCGAAATATTTCACTCAGCATAATGAAAAGGACTTCAATTTTACACCTTATTTTTAAAAATCATTCTTCCTTTTAGCAAGATGTGTTCTAGTGTGCAAACTTTCACTAATATTCTTTTTTTCATGCCCCTTCTGCTTACACACAGACTACGCAATATCGTGCAGACTTGGGAGAAGGAAAAGAACTCACTCTGCATGCAGAGACACCCCCCCACCCCCGCACACCCCAGGATGGAAGCATTATCCTCACTGGCTCCTGTGCACACACTGGGCCTTAATGGACCTAATTCTCTCTCTCTGAAGGGTCCTGGCCGACGTGGCCCCAGGAGGGCCTTGTCACTTACTCTCTGCGGGTTCCTTGGACCTGCGGCCACTGGAGGACTTCCTCAGCAGGCTTCGTCCTGAGGTAAAGAGGCTGGTGAGCTCCTCCAGGGGGCTGGTGGGGGTCCTGGAGCGTGAGCCCCCCGGGGCCGAGCCATAGGTGCTCACGGCCACGCTGACCATCTTGGCCCCATCCTGCGACACTGGCCTGGGGGTGGAGTGAGGCACTGATGGGGAACTCCTGGACAGGCTGCCCGAGTGCACTGCGTCATAGGGGGGAGGCCTCTTGAGGCTCAGGGGGGTCAGGGAGCGCCCCATGCTGACCGGCGAGGGGGAGGCCGAGTGGCTTTTAGGGTAGCCGTGGGGGGACTGCGTTCTGTACAAGGTGGAGGGGTGAGGAGGGGACGAGGAGAGCACGGGGGTGGCCGACACGGCCCCCAGGGCTGCGGCCTGGTCCTTGTCCAGCTTGGGGTGACCAGAGCTGTGGGGTGGCAGTGACGAAGGGGACGCTGCGGCCTGCTGTTTCATGTAAGACACGTTTTCCAGGACAGGGAGCTTGGTGACCTCGAGAGGGGTGAGTGGGGACTCGTCGGAGTTGGGGGAACACTGCACAGGAGCTGGGGGGAACACCAGGAGCGGCGGGCGGTGGGAGAGCAGGTTGGGGAAGGGCGGGGGGATGTCACAGAGCAGCCCCTTGGGAGTACATGGCACTGGGGACTTGGCCGAGTCCAGGTCAGGCACGGTGGGCGTAGCACACTGCGAAGAACAGCTGTGATGCTCAAAGTCGCATCTGGAGTCGTGGCCCAGGTCGTCGAAGATGGGGTACTTCATCTCCTCGTAGACGGCCTCGCTCTGGTCGTCCTCCTCCCTCCGGAAGTCTCTGAGGATGTTGCCCACCATCTCGATGTACACGGGCTCCTCTTCCTCGGGGTCCCCTGCGGGGCTGCTCACCTGTGACAGTGAGGAGTCCCGTGGGAGCGACGTCCGCCGAGGCCCAGGCCTCTTGATGTACGTCTCATCGAAGGACGTGCTGAGCTGAGTGTTCGGGTTCCGCTTGGGCTTGGGAGGAGGGATCTTCTTTGAATATTCATCACTGTGAGGTCTAGGCTTGGTTGACACTAATAAAAGAAGAAAAAAAAATTAGGTAGATGAATCAGGTGGGAAGCGTTAACCAACTAGTTTTGCTTAGATTTACTATTCTAAACTTTTTAATTCTGTCTCGCAAGTAATCTATACATTAAACAAATAGGCCCAACATCTTTAGTTTCAAAAAATCTGATAATAGAGAAACAAATAATATTTATCTGAAGGAGCTTCAGTGGCTAGCAACCCAAAGACACAAAGTTCAAATCCACCACCTGCTCCATAGGAGAAAGATGGGCGATCTCCTTGCATGCAATTAACTGCCTTTGAAAACCCACTGGAGCGTCACCTAGAGTTGGTTCTGGAAGGTGCATAACAACAATATTTATCTTCTATCTAATATCAATAGAACAACAATTATATATAGAACTGTTACTGTATGCTGTGGAGATAAACCCTATTCAAAACTTGAGCACATGTTCAAAGGATGCAGATCTCTTGGAAAGAACTTAGCACAATTTCTTGCTACTAGGCCACCAGTTGTTGTTGTTGGGTGCCTTGAGTCAAGTTCAACTTCTAGCAACCATGTGAACAGAGTCTTGTACCTGCCCTGTCTTGTACCAACCTCATCAGCTCTGACACACAAGAGCCCAACGCTGAAGGCACCATGTCAATCCACCTCATTGGGGTCTTCCTCTCCTTCAGCAACTCTTCATCTTTCCAAGTATGATGTGTCTTTCCAAGGCATAGCCTTGCCTAACTACACATCCAAAGAATAAAAGGCAAAACCTTGCCATCTTTTCTTCCAAGGAACATTCTGGCTGTATCTTATTCAAGACATATCTGTTCATTCTTTTAACAGGCCATAGATAGTCAGTATTCTCCAACACCCCAACTCAGAGACATCAGTTCTTCTTTCGCCCCCATCCTTCATTTTGTTGGCAGTCACTAAGTGATTGAAAAGACCATAGTTTGAATCAGATCTACCTTAGTCTTCAAACTGACTTCATTGCTCTTTAGCATTTTGGAGAGGTCCCTTACAGCAGACTTTCCCAACACAATATGTCTTCTGATTTTCTAACTACTGAGTATTGATAGAAAGGGTATTGATTGTTGATTGTTGATTCAAGCAAAATATTTTAAATCATTGACAGCTTTAATCCTATATCTATCATAACGTTGACTGTTAGTCCTGTGATGAGGACCTTTGTTTTCTTGCTGTTGAGATCTAATCCACACTGAGCGCTGTCATCCTTGATCTTCTGCATCAAGCATTTCATATCCTCTTCACTTTCAGCAAGCAAAGTTGTGTCACCTGTTGAGTCTTCCTTCAATCCTGATGCCACATTCTTCTTCAGAGTCTGACTTTACAGATTATTTGTTCAGCATACAGATTGAATAGGCTACCGGAGCTCCCTATAAATTAATACAACTAGTCCAGGCTAACTTGCCTCTTTTACCTTAAAATTTTTAAATAGAAGTCTTCAAATAAAATGTGTTAGATTAAACACTATCACAAATTTCACAAAAACTAACTTCTGAATATGAAGCCAGAAACTTGGGGTGAGGTGGAGGTGGGGTGGAATGCAGTTTCTGTTCACCCAAATGGGCACAAACTGACCAATAACCGTTTTAAGTGAAGCCTTTTAATTGCATGGCTGTTACTCCTTGGGTGCAAATGAGGTAAAAATTCCCCAGCCTGCTAAACATAATCTCTGCCTTGGTTCAGATTATTAACTTTTATAATAGCATCAGCTGCGTCTGGTGCTTCAGGGGAAATTGATGTGAAAGTCTTCTGAGGCTAGACAAGTTAATCTCCAAATCTCCAGGTGCCGTTGATCATGGTGTATCTGTCGGTTTTGTTCGTAAGATTTCATGATCGCTCAAATGCTGTCTCGGAGTGAATTTATTAGACATGTTTTCCTGACAACACCCGGAACTCCCGCAAGAGTTTTAAAAGATAATAATCCACAGAATGATGGGAAAGCTTCAAGAATAAATTGTGGCAGCTTAGAGCAGAAAAGTTGATTAGATCTTTCCACTGCTTGCTCAGAGTCAATCTGTTGTCGGAACAGGCAGTTCTGACCCCAATCAGGTGGGGACAGGCTGGCAAAATGTCCGGGACTGAAATCAATTGTTTACCACCCAGAAGATGCTGTTGTTGTTGTTGTTATGTGCCAGTCGAGTCGTTTGCGACTCATAGTGACCCTATGTACAACAGCTCTAAACCCTGCTCTATCCTGTGCCAATTGCATTGCCTCTGACACTCCCATCCCGATTACCCCAGTCACTGAATCAATCCATCTCATAGAGGGTCTTCCCCTCCTGCGCTGTCCCTCCACTCTGCCCAGCATGATGTCCCTCTCTAAAGACCTGTCTCTCCTTACAACATGTCCAAAGTATGTCAGACGGAGCCTCAGAATCCTTGCCTCCAAGGAGCAGCCTGGTTTAATCCTCTCTACGATGAATATGTTTAAGATGCTAGTGTCTTGTTATTATCTCATGATCTCATTTACATTTCTTCTCTCCCCTCAAATACTACACGAAACTAGATGTCATTTTCTAGGGACTTTACAATAAAATCTTTTTTGTGTCAAAAGTCAATAGCTTAGGAAAAGAATGACATGAGAACTGTACAGACAATCATAATGAGGAAATATCCTAAGTAGCCAATGGCTCTTAACTATTGTTGGTAGGAAACATTGATCCTTCGGCGGGTTTGATTTTGAGGTATAACCTATTCATTAGCTTTCATATACTTTAGATTACTCATTGGGTTGTTGTTGTTGTTATGTGCCATCGAGCTGCTTGCAATTCATAGTGACCCTATGTGAAGTAACCCTGAAACCTGCTCTATCCTGTGCCAACCATATTGTCTCTGACACACCTACTCTCATAATCCCAGTCACTGAATCAATTAATTTCATTGGGGGTCTTCCTCTCTATCCTTTCACCCTTCCACACATGACGTCCCTGTCCAAGGACTGGTCCCTTCTTACAACATGTCTAAAATATGTCAGATGAAGCCTCAGAATCCTTGCCTCCAAGGAGCAGACTTGTTTCACCCTCTCTAGGACAAACTTGTTTTTTCTCCTGGCAGCCCAGAGTGTATTCAATATTCTTCTCCAGCACCACAGCTCAAAGGCATCAATTCTCTTTCTATCATCCCTGCTCATTGTTCAGATTTCTGAAACACAGCAAGTAATCATGAGGACTATGGCCTGGATCAGGTGAACCTTAGTTTCCAAATTGATGTCGTTGCTCTTCAGTACTCTTGAGAGTTCCCTGAGAGCAGGCTTTTGGGTTACATACCAAAAAATTCTAGGTTTAATAAAGGAAGTAATCTAATGGAAAAGATTTCCTTAGTACAGTAGGGCCCATAAAGGAATTGATTCTTAGCTTTTGTTTTTATTTTTTTATTTTTTTTATTACTATTAAATTTTATTAGT